CTGTTGAAGGACGCGCGGCGCGCGCATCCAGACTCCTGCATTTCTCCGCAACTCCAAATGCACTACACACGCGGCTAGATGCGCTCGCCTGGACTCGTTCCCAACTCATTTTCGTTCAACCGCTAGAGACGGTGGATGAACACCGTGAGAAGCGCGCTTATCAACTCAGTCTCCAATCTGCCGCTAGAGACTGTGGACGGAGACTGTTAGGAGCGCGCTTAGCAATGCCATCTTCAATCTACTGCTACATTTTGTGGATAACGCGAGTATTGGAGCGAGCTCCTGTACGGGCTAATGGATCCAAATGACGGAGCTCAATCTTGCTAACTGGGTGTTGGTTAAATGCCACAAAATATCATAAAATGTCCGATGGAGGTGTTTTCGAAAATAAGATACTTGAAAATATGCGAATTTTTAAAGCTTAAATATGCAAACTTTGCAACGCTGTATCTCGGAAACTAGACGTATACTCAAGCTAAAAATTTTACTGGAGGCTTGTCTCACCATAAGGTTTCATTTCAGCCACATACGAATGAAATCCCAGAGTTTCAAAAAAAGGGGCCACTTTTTGGGAGGCTCTTTTTCTGATCATCCATCCCCAAAAAGCCTTGCAGTCATTGGAGCAAAATTTTTCATAATGAATGTGGGTGAAATTTGAAACTGTCTAAAGACACTGTCATTGCTCTTGAAAATTCGACAGAGAGTTGGCTGAATGCAAAATCTTCATTTCAGCAACCATAAGCAATAATGGGACATAAAGTTGGGTACCATCTCTGATGCCAGTGCTAATCTTTTCTTATAATGGTCTGTCCGAAACTGAAGTATCTTGTACACGTGGTCCATCTGATCCATTAAATCTTCGAACAGCATATCCTTAACATGAGAAGGCATCTGAAACAAAAACAAAAAATGCAAGTGTGGCCGAAAATTTTACTCAAAAGTTGAAAAAAATATCAGATATTTCAAGAGCTTTCACAATGGTCATTCTTAAGTAAAAATAGTTTGTATGCAAACTAACTAACTCTTGTCTCAACATAATTTCTCAATATTGATTTTCAGGACTGCAACTTCAGTCCCTAGCTACTTACATCCCTCGAAATGAATATTGCGCAAAGAAATTTTTTTTCTAGAAAAGAAAATTATGCAGTGAAACAACTAATCAATGAGATAGGAGGCTAATTGTAAGGCGATCAGCAAGCTGAGGTTATGGAGAGCAAACAATTTTACAGCATGTCTTTCTCTCTGACGAGGGAAATCTATAAAGGAATTAGAAAAGTTATGATATGAGAGGAAGATCTACAATATTCACGATCTTCTTCCATGAGGACGCGAGCATAAAAATAAGGCGATGTAGAAAAACAGAATGAAAATACCTCCTCCGAGATAAGAAGCTTGTTACACTGGTTCCTGCAAATGCAACAGGTGTCCGATCCTGAAATGATAAAAAGGATGAGCTAAATGAATGAAAATAATAGGTAATACGAGTTCAAAACAGGAGAATAAAGTATAAAACCGTTAAAAAAAGGATTTAACAAGAAAATTGAACAAAATTCCTGAGGAACAGTATTGGTACGTTTTCTGCTTTGATGTTGATTTTCACTCGTTTAATATGATTGCAAAGACTTTTTCCTTGATCAGTATTGGTGACTAAAGTGCAAAATGAATGTATTTCCATTGGGATGTTACAAAATGTCCGCTCCAAATTGATTTTTCAAGGAGAAAAAATCAAGGGAGTTTTCAATAAATTACTAATTTCCCCCCCAAAAAGAATAAAGTGACAAGAAGCAGTCTGCAACGTCGCAAACGAAGATACATTGTTTCGCACTTTAGCCATGAATATTTCCTAGCATTCTTTATGCCAATACTGCAGCAGTATTTCACTGACATAGCCTCACATTTGAATAATTACAACAATAATGTAATGTATTAATGTAATTATTTCAATAATTACTGCGATATTTAAGCCCTAGGAAACATTGCTTTCTGTTTCAATGGTATTATTGAAAAGGTATTGCCTGCCGCCCTCTTTTCAGGGTGGGGTTCTCTCCAGTAGGTATGAACACATGTTGACTATATAGATCATCATCTACTTGACCTAAGAGATAGCTCATATTACCTAAGCTTCTTAAGAAGCTTCATTATTACCTTTACACCTTTCGCACAATAGGTGCCCGCAGTTGGTGATGTAAAATTTGGTTGATTTCTTAGCTTCAGGGAAGATTCCACACTTGTTGCAATGGATCACGTTCATTATGAATTCCCTGAAAATACGTAAAAAACCTTTTATGGGAACTGAACGTATAATTTAGCGTGAGTATCAACAATGGAAAATTAAAGACAAGTCAATAAACAGTGCACATGATGCAATAAATTGGACACGCAATTCGACAGTGAAACTGCAGGAAAGGAATTATTGATAATGATGTTTCAAAATCTTTGCCTCTACCTAATTTCTTTTGCCAAAGGTGAGCAAGCCAACACAATTGCTTGAAATTTTTGTAGATTGTTAGTCATGCAGCTAGAAAATTAAGGAATTTCTCGAGAATGGACGTTGGTGTTTTTCCAATAAGAAATGAGATATATGACAGGCAAGTCTACAACGTCACAAACTGAGATATCTACATTCCAGCAGTTTAATCCTTGAATTGCTGTGCTAACTTTTCTAATCATCAAGATAACTTCTGACAGGTGCTTCTGGCAGCACCATTTTAATACTTAGGTATACTCATCACGCAGATAAAGGCCACTGCGTAAGTCCGCAACCATGTATCACGTTTGCAATGTTTGAAAATCTCCGCCTCTACATTATTTTTTTAAAGGAGAACAAATTGACATCAAATCTTGAAATTATCATTGAATTTTCTTCGCCCAGGAAGGAAAAATCTCGGCAGTTTTAGATAATTGCCGTTGCGTTGTCTATACATTTTAAAAAATAAAGTATGATGGGAAGTCAGCTGCGATGTCGCAAATCAAGATACGAGGTTGCAGACTTACACTGTCGATTTATACTTCAGTATCGATTAGAATCAACAGTTTGTCCAATCTATCCTGCTTTGGTGCGTGTTTCATCCATATTTCGTTACTTTGCATTGAGTTGCCCATTGAAAGTGCCTGAATTAACGTGGCTATTACTAGGTTAGCATTGCTGGCTTCTGAAATAATGCGCTAGAAGGGAACACCATGGCTCATGATCTCATGGGGAAAGGTCTTAGAGGTAATCTTAAATAACACAAGCATTGCACAAGCCCAGTTTACAGACGTCTCAACTCAATACCCACGACCAGGCAAAAATTCAGCAAGAGCAGGGTAAATTATCGATTTGATTAGAAAAAAATCAGAGTTTCCACGAAATATCTTCATCAAAATCGTTGAAGAATGTCAATATGGAGTTGCTTCTGACAATCACTTAGTGAAAGTTGCAGGGAGGGCTTGAAGAGTCAACCCGAAGCTTGTGATCAACATGTGAATAACAAGTACCTAACTAAGTATAGCAAAATGAAAAAAAATGGTCATGCTTACAGCACAGAAAATAGAGCGAAAAATGAAACACTAACGAGTAAAATTGAGCGTTGGTACTATTATCAGTAAACAGAAACACATGGGCAGCAGAAATGACGAAATCTGCGGAAATAAACAAAACTAACCAAAAAAAGTCACCGACCGCGACCATCGTTGCATCGCTCACACCGGAAACGGATACGCAGAACATACCGGAAACCAGAGACAACCGGAAACGAAAATCGGGGGGGCTATGTTCGGGTACGTATGCATCCGTTTGTATAGCATTGGAGTGATCAAACGAGCGAATTTAATGAAACAAAACAATTTCCATTCTTTCCGATGCAAAAAAACAAGTTCAAATGAGCTTCAGGTGGTGATAAAGAGGCAGAGAGTATGGAAGGAAGGTTTAGGTTCCATACTCTCGAAAGCGGCAGAAGAAGGGCAAGAGAGCGCGTGTGACCGAAATCTAGATCAAGAACAGAGGAGATTTGATGCGAAAGTAAAACATACTCTATGTTTTCGTGGCTGCTGAAGTCGAAAATTACCTTGGTTTTTTTTCGCTACTCTCCACATATTTTCCTAAAAAGCGACTTTGCAACGGAAAAGTTCGAATTTTTTTAAAAAAAATTGCGATCTTTTCGGGGAAAACCGAACGGACCCCAAAAAACGGTCATTTTCGGAATCAGCGCTAAAAATTCACAAGTGTCAGCTGTAGTGGTCATACTTTTGTGCAAACCAACCTGTCCTTTAAACAGTACCTACCTATACCTAATATTCTTCAAAGTCATACGTTTCTTACACCTACGGATCGATGAGCATCTTGCATAGTGTCTGGGAATCTTCTCCACTATTGAGAAAATTCCCGAAAT